CAATTAGCTGATTTTTATATTTAAAACAAAACTATGTCCCCTAATTCTTTTCATTGGCATGCAATACACAAAAACATTTTTGAAATGACAAATTAACAAGGAAAAATTTTAATTTATAATATACTCATCATAGAAATAGCACTCAATGATTCAACTGCATTAGAATGTACACAATATATATATATATTCCTGGAATTAAAGTCATTATTATAAACTTCTATATTTCATATGAATCAACTATGAGGTTAAAAATTTCTCACAAAGGCAATCTTTCTTAATGATAGGTCCATCTTTTCTAAGGAAAAACTGGAATAGATTTGTGTCTATGAGGCTTTACAACGTTCTAACAATTCATTTCCCATCCCCCCCAAAATAGGTAAATTTATCATGGGAGAAATCAAATGATACCAGTAATTATCTTTGAGTCATGAGGTCATGAGCAGGCACTGTAAGTATCTTTTTAAGATTAAAACCTTAAATTGGGGTCTGGAGAGAACAGTTCTGCTGGTGGAGAGATTGCCTGGCATGCACACAACCCCAGCGAGGTTCCATCATCCCCAGCTGAGAAGAAACTGGGTGCAGTGGCACATGCACCGGCTGCTCTTCCAGAGGTCCTGAGTTCAATTCCCAGCAACCACATGGTGGCTCACAACCATCTGCGATGAGACCTGGAGCCCTCTAGTGGCTTGCAGGCAAACATGCAGTAGGAACACTGTGTACATAATAAACAAGTAAATCTTAAAAAAGGAAAACACTTGGTTCACCTAAATGAGTGACCAAGAAAGAAAAGACAAAGAACTATTGAAAGCAGTATTTAATCAGTAGTGTGACAAGTTACTAATCTCAAAATATAATACTAATTATAAACAACGAAAGTACACCGCTGCCCAATTCTTCTCTTAATTTAAAACATAAATAATATCAAAACAGCTGGTACAGGAATAGAGCTACTGTAACTCAGAAAACAAACTTTGAAGGGAATCTCAAAGCCAGGCATAGTAATGCATGCAGGAAGATCAGGCCTTCAAGGTCAACCTTGGCTACATAACAAGTTGGTGGCTAATCTGGGCTCCAAGCAACCATTAAAAAGAAACCCCAAACTAAAATATATCAAAGAAGGTCAAATTTCAACAGGAAACTATGGAAGTCTTTACATTTACAATGTAAAAGTCACAGGCTTGCCAACTGTCTCCTGAAGTCCCACTAACTAAACTCTAATTTGACACAGGGCTGCTGAGCACTGCTGAACTTTGGAGCCCAGGACCAGCAAATCCCACTTATCAACATAGGTGAGTGTGGCAGCAACAGAAAGGTGACTTTTTACTTTGCTCTTATTAGCAATTCTACCCTAGGTAAGTTACTTAATTTTTCCAAACTACAATCTGCTCATCAGTAAAGTTAAGATAATGAAGTCTTAAAGCTCTTCAATGAGGTGGCTGGAGAGATGGCTCAGAGGTTAAGAGCACTGACTGCTCTTCCAGAGGTCCTGGGTTCAATTCCCAGCAACAACATGGTGGCTCACAACCATCTACAATTCAATCTGGTGTATATGTAATAAATAAACAAAGCTCTTCAATGAAAAGAATACAAGCAATACTTCAGAAGAGGTGTGGGAGGGGAGAGAAAAGAGGCCGATCAAGAGAGCAAGAAGATGTGCATCCTTCAAGAACTACTTTATCCAGAACTAGATTGATGATCCCTTTGGAGAACATTGCCAAATTTAAGAACCCTTAAAATCCCCTCATCTTCTCATTCAGTGAGCTTCAGAAACTCATTCCAATGAGTCAAATCAGTGGCACACACCTATAATTCTAGCTTTCAGGATGCTGAGACAGGAGGATACAAAGTTCAAGGTCAGCCAGCTTGGACTACAGAATGGGCTTGAGGCTAAGCTGAAGCAGCCTGAGGTACATGAAAAGACTATTGATAGTTACATTCATTCACAGTTTATTTGGTATGCCAGAAGTCATTTAGTTCTACTGCCCTCAAAAACCAAAGGCATGGTGGCGGTGCCTCAGTAACAGGACACCTGCATAGCACAAGGTCACTAAAAAATGGGAAAAGAAAGCAAAAAACAATAACTGGAGCTGGAGAGACGGGTCAGCAGTTAAGATCACTGACTGCTATTCCAGAGATCCTGGGTTCAATTCCCAGCACACACATGGCAGCTCACAATTGTCTGTAACAGTTCCAAGGGATCCAACACCCTCACACAGATATATACATGCAGACGAAAACAACAACACACATAAAATAAACAAATGAATGAATTTTAAAAATTAAAGCTATCAGAATGCAACAACAATAAAAAAAAGTTAGTCATAGGAGGACAATTGATATATGTTGACGATACACATGAAAGAATGACAGCATGGTTTATAATAGCAGAAAAAAAAACTAAAGGCAATCCAAATATCTAGGCATGAATAATTTTTAACTAATTTAAGACCATGATAAAATAGGGTAAAATAATGGGCAGGAAAGGGTGTATGTATGTGTATGTATGTATGTATTTATGATGATACACTACAAACAGGGCCAATTTTGTCTTCTCAAGAAAATACTGGTATATGTAGAAATAAGTAAAAAGAAGCCATCCCTCACAATGGCTAGTGCAAACATACACTTCTGCTCTCGACTGTTTACAGCTGGTCCTTTCATCACACGGTAGCCTGCTACCAACAGGCTACTATTATGAGTTCTGTGAGGCAGGTCTGTCCAATAACAAAGATGCTGCAGCAACTGTAAGAAAATTCCTGGTAGCTAATTTAAAAATCAATGTGTCTGCCAACACTAGACCATCTTCAGTTAAGTTTTCAAAGAAAGACCGATAGCCAAGAATGGCATTAATTTCAGAAACATTATCAATATCCTCTGGCTAATAGCTTGTGTCCTCGAAAAACAGGCAGTGGAAGCCTGGCATGATGGATGGCACCTGCTTGTAACTCCAGCACATGGAACAGGAATTTAGAGGTCAGCTTGGGCTACAAAGGGAGACACAGTTTTGTTTGTTTGCTTTTGTTTTTCGAGACAGGGTTTCTCTATGGCTTTGGAGGTTGTCCTGAAACTAGCTCTTGTAGACCAGGCTGGTCTCAAACTCAGAGAGCCACTTGCCTCTGCCTCCCGAGTGCTGTGATTAAGCGTGTGCACCACCAATGGCAGGCAGGAGACACAATCTTAAAGAGCCCATGACCAAACAGGTAATCAAGTGGGCAGGAAAAAATAAAAGAAACAAGAATGAATCTGCAATTGCTGAAAAGTAAGAGGAGGAAGAGAAAGAAGAGAAGACTCTAAGAGGGAAAAAATGGCAAGGTCTCTAATTTTTATCAAAAGAGCCACTGTCTAGGATGATGACACAATCCCTACCTAACCTTTTCCTATTTGCAAAGACTACAAACTACCAACCAACTACAGACCAAGAGGGATTAAGTCAGTCCTTCAAGAAAAACCTTCTCATTTTTTCAAGCAAATCATAGCTATGGTACTACCAGAGAACCATGTAATAAGTAAATTAGTATCTCAAATTTTATTCCAGAACTAACTCATAAAACCAGAACTAATTATAAACCACTAGTCATGATTCATAAACATGTTAAGCCCTATGTCATATATTCTAAACAGTAGTCTATTTTTAGTAAGGATTTTGTGAAATTATCACAAGTTAGAGTTCTGCAATTAAAAATCAAGAAATTCATCCCTCTTGTAATGACTGAGCATAGCTATTTGCTACGGAAGAAACCAAAGAATACCACAAGGATCTTACTGAAAAATCATAGTGTGTGAGAGCATCATGTACGACAGTGTTGTAGCAATCCCTGCAGAACACATTTCTTTATTGCAAAACAAAATGAGAATAGTTTAAAATTCCTTCTTTATAATTGTATGATATATAAGAGTTAAAGAAAGTTAAAATGAGCTGTGCATTGAGGCACACATCTTTAATTCCAGCACTGAAGAAGCAGATACAGGTGATCTCTGGGAGCCTGAGGGCAGCCTGGTCTACACAGCCAGCCAGGGCAACACAGAGATGCCCATTTATTTAAAAGACAGACAGACAGACAGACAGACACACACACACACACGCACGCACGCACGCACGCACACACACATTCTGAATCACATGACTTGGTTTGGTTGGGTTGAAATGGAACCAACATGCAGTTTTTATTTTCCTTTCATTTTTTTTGTTGTTGTTGTTAATCATGGTACCACAGACAAAAAGATAAAACACAAAAATCTTCAAAACCTTGATTTCCACACCAGTTACTATAAACAAGATGTTTCCAAGACAGAACCAAGGCACACATTTCGTGTGTAAGAGAAATTAGTGACCTTTAGCATTCAGACAGGTATTCGTTATTACAGACTCATACTATCAGACAGACCCAGCATAAACTCACACCTGGGAGATACTCATGGATCCTAATATGAAAAATATATTAGACATATATTAGAAACATTTCTGAAAAGCTCAAAGATATGCTGCATAATTACATTAAAAAACCTGCTTTCTCCCATTTTATTTATTTATTATTATTGAATCCAGAAACCATTTTTTGAGGCACTTTTACTTGACCACCATCCAATTCCTATTGTGACAAATTATTCAGGATCCAGTATCTTCGACCATTTTAAATTTTCAAGTATTTAATTTACTATACCTAGACAACTTTGAAAATCCATTCTATATTTCGGTACTTCAAAACACAGCTACAGTACCCAAAAAAAGCCCAATCCTGAAGTACCCCTCCCTTTAAAATACACATGCCAAAACTACTTTGAACCTTTCCTTAAAAATAAGTACCTATAAGAAAACACAAATTCAAACAAGCTCTAGGTGGAAGTAACAATCTGTTAAAAGGCAGCACACTTTATATGTTGCAACACTCTCCCCAGACACCTGCATTTCTGCTGCAGTCACAAATACATGTGCTACTCTGAAGCACAGAGCATGGAGACGCATGAAGCAAGCACACAGACCTGAAATGGATTTGCATTACCTCCAACCTTAGGGCCACCTGCTGAACCAGGCTTCCTCCCACTGCTGACAGGGTTTCCAGATGTTTTAGGTGCAGGAACCTTGAAGGCTGAAGCAGCTGATGATGGCCTGTTTCCATCCACTGATTCTTCATCATCAAAGCTTTTATCTGCACAAAGCATAAGAAAACAGATACTTAAGGAAGCTAAGCTTTTTCCATTTTCCATTAAGATTCAAAAATAAAATAGAGGTACAAATAAAAGAGTATTATTTAGGTAATAAAAATAAAGATCTTTTGAATAAATATTTATATATATTAAGTAGCACTCACTTTAAGAAATAACCCCTGTGATTTAAAATAAAAATACCGTATTATCACATTTCCTACACATACATGTCAGAATATTAAAGCAAACATATCAACTTTAGAGCGGTCAAAGCATCTCTCTTTTTTGATGCTCATATAAGCATTTTCTGCCAGCCCCTCCCATAGCCAATCTTCAAGCACGCCCTGCCTTATTTCTATGCCCAGATTTCTGCAACTTACAATCACAGATCCGTTTGCAAATCAGCCGCCTCATTCCTCCGAATTTCCCTCACCCTAGAACAGCTCCTAATAGTTCACATGGCCAAACACAGTCAATTTGATACTAATCAAAGATTCTATCAAAAATAGATAGAAACAACCACAGAACCACCACTGAGGTTTGTGCCGGCATTTTTCTTTCTCTTCCCTGCCCTAGGTGCTGCAACAGCCAATCAGCTGCAAGGTGACATCATCTTATGGCAGCTACTGCTAGATGAAAGGTAAAAATTCTCCATGCATCTAAAAAATCCTCTATGTACTTACAATGTATTCTCTATCAAAAATGTAAAAGCATTTCATACCAAAGGTTTATAAATCTACATTTGCTTCCTCTTACTTAATACACATGAGAATCCATATAAACAGGACATTAGGTTTTAGGCAGGAATCACTGTGCTGTGTGCTACTGCATCGGGGAAAGCACGAGAACAGCAGGGCTCACTGCTGTACATAATTAACTGCCTGTAACCTCACAATAGTGACAGAAATGAAACCCAACAGTCTCCTCTCTTAAGTGATTCTCAGGAGTTCTCCAGTTTCCTCCTGGAATATTCACAGCCACACTGGTATCATCTCCTCACATACAAGCTCACCAGCCTCCAGCCAACTCCTCCCTCCCCCACTCACAAGATAGAAAGATGCCTTGGACTCTGCTGAGAAATGGTTTTCTCTAGGACCCTGCACAAACCAATGCTGACAGACAAGATGGGTGAGGCAGAGAAGCAGGCTGCAGACCTACGTCTGATTCTTCTTCCTGCCCCTCCCGTTTTCACCACACACATGCCCACTCATCCAGAATAAGTGATCTCCATGAAAACATGCCACCAGTGTAAGTATTAGATAGGGTTAGGGAAGGAAGACCCCAACAAATTCTAAGACCGCTTATTAGGAAAAAATAAATAATGATCTAAAATCATGTTCCATTTCAGCAAGGGTTTTGTTAATATCACTTCTGCTCCCCCAATCCTACCTGCGTGCCAAAATCATCTTCTAGTTTAAATACAACATTATTTTACCATAACATAATTAGGGAGCCAGTGCGGAGAAATTAATGAGCTGAAAACGTGTGCTTTAAATATATCACTGTGTTAAGTACACCAAAATAATTCAAAATAAACTCTTTTTTTGGTTCATCATTATATTCACATTCACACACACACACACACACACACACACACACACACACACACACACACAAACAGAAAATCTACAGAAAGTCAGGCATTGAAACAGAAGAGGCAGAAGTTCCCATGGAAACGGTGTTCCCTTCCTATACACACAAGAACTGAAAAGATAAGTGTTCCTACCATTAAAAAAAAATTAACTCTTAACATCCTCAAGCTACTGGGATTTTAAAACTTTGTTAACAAAGGAAGCATACATGTCCCAAGAAACAAACTAAATTTTCACAAAAAGAATGTCAGTCTAATCAGTACCCAGACGCAAAGATTACCTTCACCTTGTGTCTTCTAAGCATCTCCAAACCCCTGATCAGGCCAGTCAGTCACACAGCAGTTAAGAAGTAGAATGTCTGCTGTGGCCTCTGGTGTGTCTTCACTAAATAGGAAGTTGATACTGGGAGATTCATTTTGCTGCGTATAGCTCTGGTATATGAAGTATCAGTGTCCTGGGCTCTGGTATATGAAGTATCAGTGTCCTGGTGCCCACTCCACTGCTCACAGACATGTGAGCTACTCAGAGTCTGCAGTTATTGTAAAGCTGTGCTCTTGAAAGACAAACAAAAGGGCCTGTGGGCTTCAGCACTCCTGGCAAGCAGTACACAAACCAAGGTCAAGCATCTCAATAAACTCCACAATTCTGTGCTTTTTGTTAACATAATGCTGTTTCAGATCTGAAAACATTTTGTATTTTGAATTTGGGGATTAGAGATATTCAGCTAAATGTAAGTAGACTCGTACAAATATTCCAAAAACAGAGAAAAGACCCAAAATCTGAAATAAACAAACACTCTTGGTCTGAAGCAATTCAGATAAGGGATGGTCAACGTAATTTATCTGAGATCACAGGAAATCAAAGATGCATTTAGTAATATCTATGGCAGTGCTGCTGGAATGTGATATTCAGACAAAGCTCAGAATCACTGGCGTTCCTTAGGGATGCATTCTAGATTACTGTAACACTTGTTTATTCTGTGTACCCATGTGTCATGGCATTCATGTGGACTGCTTCAGGAGTTAATTCTCTTTTTCTATCATGCTGGTCCAGGGGACTGCACTCAGGACATCAGGCATGGCAGCACCTATACCTGCTGAACCATCTTCCCAGTCCCCTAAAATGTGAATTCTTGGGTATGAACTCACCTGTACTGCATCAGAAATTATTGTAAGGACGAAGTCTGATCCGCTGCTATTTAAGAGCTCATGACAATCATGTGTGAGCCACTCAGAGGTTGGTAGATTCTCTTTCTAATAAAAAGGTCCCATGGCAAATATCATAGGCCTGGAAATCTCTATACAAATGTCCTTTGTGCAACTGCTCAATTATGACATAATAACAACAAAGCAACCCACCATCTACAAAGAAATAGGTACAGCTATGTTTCAATATCAGGTAAACAAATAAGAGGACAACTAAGACTGGTCCAAAAGCAACAATTTGCCAATCCCTGGTTTAGGGTAAAAACTAGAAGAAGACTAATTTAAAAAATAAAAAAATAGTAACTAAAATAATTTTTAAAAATGAAAAATACATTAAAGTTTGAAAAGATTTAAAAATTTTAAATACAATGAAAAATAATTTTCTGCGCTAGATATGTAAACTCAACTTCCTGTGTACTGAAGGACCAAGAACCATCCTTGTATTCTAAAATAACTGTAGTGTGTTATTCTCTGAAGCAGAGAACTTTAAAGTTGGGCTTTTCTTTTTCATTCCACTGGCCATTAGTGCAACAGCAATTAGGCATGAGTAGTCACTGAATACATTTGTCTCATGGAGCAGTTAAAAAAGGTAAACTTTTAAAATAATTTCTTGGGGGAGGGTGTAACCTGAAATGTTTTTCTTCAGTTTAAAACTACATAAAGAAGGGAACTAGAGAAATGATTTAGAAGCGAGCAGGCTGCTCCTCCAGAGGACCCGGGTTCAGTTCCCAGCACCCACAGAGGCTGACAGTTGTCTGTACCTGCAGCTCCAGGAGGATCTGACCCCCTCTTCTGGCCTCCTCAGGCTCTGCACACACACATGATGCACAGACATGCATACAGGAAAAACACACCTACACATAAAACAAAAATAAATCTTAAAAACAAAAACTACACAAAAGGGCTGAAGAGATGAGTGAGCAGTTAAGAGTGCTTACTGCTCTTGTTAAAGAACCCAGGTTCAGTTCCCAGTACCAACACTAGGCAGCCCACAATCCCATAAGTCCAGTCCAGAGAATCCAAACCACTTGTTTGGCCTCCACAGGCAGCTGCACTCATGTGCACAAACCACTCCTACACTCTTTGGATAAAATGCCTGGTTTTTAAAAGTCTTAAAAGCAACCAACGTTTGACAACAAGAAACACAAAACTAGAACCAGTACTTCAGAGCTTCTACTCTATTGTGAGGCAAAAAGAACAGATTCACATCCACCTGACACACAAGCAGAAGTTAGAATACCAAATTACAAACTCTTAAGGTTAAAGGGAACCACAAGACAACCCTTATTTTTCTATTGTCTATTTTTTTTTAACTTTTTTTCACTGGGAGATGGCTCAGTAAGTAAAGTACATACTACAAAAGTGTAGGACCCCTTCCACATAAAACTGGATGAGATAACACCGACACCTGTCACCCCAGTGCTCCTAGAGGGAAATGAGAGGTGACTCTGTGACAGCTAGCCTGGCATATGCAGGAGGAAAACCCAATGTGGGAGGTGAGGCCTGAAACCCACTCCCACGTGGGCTCACTAGCACACACACGCACTCCCACGTGGGCTCACTAGCACACACGCACTCCCACGTGGGCTCACTAGCACACACACGCACTCACACGTGGGCTCACTAGCACACACACGCACTCACACGTGGGCTCACTAGCACACACACGCACTCACGCAAATGCACACAGTGCTTCTACCACCACAAGTACCATCACCATCATACATGAGCTAAAAGGTAAGTAAATGAATAAACTGGGGTGGCGAGTGGGAGGGGAGGAGGAGAGGGGCGGGGCGGGGAAAGGAAGCGGGGTGGGGGGGGGGAGACAGGGAAGTGAATCAAATCAAAAGCTTCAGTACAGTAAATGAGCCAGATACTCAAGTTCTACTTCTGTGGGCTGCTAAGAGCACAAACAAAATTCCTAACAACACCCCAAAGGTATTAGAGGACAAGAGTAATAGAGCAGAATGACTTCGTGTTATCTATCTGCACACTGGAAAAGGTGACCAGATGGAGAACAGGAGAGATGGGCAGGTGGGGGAAAGAGCCGGAGTAGAGACTGAACACGCATGAACAACTACTAGGAACAGGTGTCCTTAAACACTGCATTTCCTCTGTGAGGAAGCAATGGTGGAGTGGGCTATAGTGCTAGCTACATGAGGAAGATTAAAAGGTAAGGAGATGGAAAGAGGACACATCCACGAA